GATTTATAATATTTTGATGTAACTTTCAAATAACCAACATTACTGGTCACTTTGTCCTAATTTATGTGATATGGATAAAAATACAAAATTAACCCTTTTAAAATGTCTTTAAAATATTTTAAGTTGTTAATTATTATTATTTATAATACTTTTTTGGTAATTTTAAAATGATATGTGTTATTTTTTCTGTCCTAATATATGTGAGCCTGAAAGAATTCTGAGAGTGAACCTATTTTATTATATAGCTTTTAAATATTTTAAATTGGTAATTATTCTAATTTTTAATGCTTTTTAAGTCATTTGTAAATGATATATGTTGCTTCCTTTGTCCCATTTTATATAGTATAAATAAAATTCCCGAAACCAACTAAATTTTTAATATATTTTTTAAAATATTTTAAATTATTAATTATTGCGATTTATAATATTAAAAAAAAAGTACAAAACTTGTATCAGCCTAAAAAATGACCACGATTATTCGAAGCCTACAGAAAGCAATATGGTTGTACGTAATTTTTAAATACTTAATATATATTACTCCACTTGTCTCAATGTATGTAGCATTGATAAAATTTCAAGATTCAATCAAATGTTGTTAATTGTTAACATTTATATACATTTTACGTAGTTTTCAATAATTTCACATTAAACAATACATATTACTACTTTTGTCTCATTTTATGTGACATTGATAGATTAATTTTAAGAATCAGTCAATTTATTTTTTCTGTTTTTTTAATACATATTTTAAGTGGTCAAAATCACGATTTATTGTATTTTATACATAATTTTTAACGATAGATTAATTTCAAGAATTAATCGAATTTTTTTATATGTATTTATGTTTGAAATATTTTATGTTGTCAATTATCATGATTTATAGCATTTTTACGCAATTTTTAAATATAAAAAAAAGATTAAGACAAATAAATTAAAATGGGCGCAATATATGTTATTTTTGTTGTCTCAATTTATGTGACACAAATGAAATTTGAAGAGTCATCCAAATTTGCATTTAAAAAAAAAATGTTCTAAGTTATTAATTATTGTGATTTATAATATTTTTATGTAACTTTCAAATAACTTACATTGCTGGTCACTTTGTCCTAATTTATGTGATATGGATAAACTTACAAAATTAACCCTTTTAAAATGTCTTTCAGATATTTTAAGTTGTTAATTATTATTATTTATAATACTTTTTTGGTAATTTTGAAATGATATATGTTATTTTTTCTGTCCCAATATATGTGACCCGGATAGAATTTTGAGAGTCAACCTATTTTATTATATATCTTTTAAATATTAAATATTTTAAGTCATTTGTAAATGATTTATTATATTATATTATTATATATATATTTTATATATATATATATTATATTTATTTCTACTATATAATAAAAGGGGTTTTCTTATGATATTATATAATAGTAGAATATATATTATATAAACTCCCTTTTATTATATAGTAGAAATTACAATTACAAAATTAACCCTTTTAAAATGTCTTTAAGATATTTTAAGTTGTTAATTATTATTATTTATAATACTTTTTTGGTAATTTTAAAATGATATATGTTATTTTTTCTGTCCCAATATATGTGACCCGAATAGAATTTTGAGATTGAACCTATTTTATTTTATATCCTTAAATATGAAATATTTTAAGTCATTTGTAAATGATTTATTATATTATATTATTATATATTATATAAACTCCTTTATAGTAGAAAAATAAATATATATTATATAGTAGAAAAAATGATTTATTATATTATATATTATATATTATATAGGGAGTTTATAATTGGACATTACAATGTCCCATCATAAACTCCCTCGAGAATATATATATATATATATAACACCCTTTACATTACATGTAATAAACGTGGGAGAGAGCTAGAGAACTCCGGCATGTGTTTGTACATGTGATATAAAAAAAAACGATTTCAAATCAACGTCTGATCAGCTTGCATTTTGAGATCGTGTTTTCAAAACTTTATGAATAGAAAAATTAATTCATAAGTTTATGTTTTGTGTTGATAAAAAACTCAGATTTTAATTTTTGCAAAAAGAAAAAAGTTCATGTTAGCTCAGTATGAAGAGAATGTTTCTATCACGTGATAGAACTATAATAATTAATAAGAATAACTAGCTATTGTATTGACTAGTGATTATTTTAAAAATAATATTATGTGTATTTGGAAATTTGTAATTATAAGCATTTATCTATAAAAAAAGGGAAATATGCGATTTATTAATGCGATGTCTTAGAATATTCTGATATTTTGTTTATGAACTATAATTTATTTATTTGGTAAGAGTGTATAAAAATTAGGAAAATTTTAATATGAAATTTTCATATTTTTAAAATTATATATAATTTAAAACTCTAAATGGCAGAAACAAAACTTTTATTAAGATTGTATGTCCCCCTTAGATTAATGTTAGCTGTTCATTATTCTATTTTCTCACAAACTTTTAATATGTGACGACTTTTTAATTTTCTTTTTTACTTTAACTATTTTTGCTATTTTATATTGTACTTTTTATTTTTCATTTTTCATTTATTTTTATATCCTTTCGATCCAATTTTAAAAAATGTCTTTTTCAGGTCATGATTCTATCAAAAGTAAGTTTTCTATTCAACAAATATAAAAATAGATAAATATACAACTCATCGCCTCAGACCCTATTTATAAACTATACTAAATATATTAGTATTATTATTATTATTATTATTACTATATTAATTGATAGTTTAGACTAGGACTGTTCAAAATCGAACCGAAACCGATAACCCGAACCGAAAAAAAGTTATTGGTTTAACAGGAATGGGTTATTGGTTTAGTGGTTTTGATAACTGTTTTGATTTTTTTGTTATCGGGTTATCCGTTCTTAACGGTTTGAGGTTTTTTCTTAACGGGTTAACCGATAACCCGATAGTAAATTAAATAATTATATTTATACCATTTTGTATATAAAGTCCTTGACTTAGAGTTCGATTTCCTACTTTTATTTTTGGTTGTCTCAACACTTGGTTATTCTACAATGTAAAACATTTTGCTTTTGAGCAAGATGTAGCTTGTGATCTCATGTACATGGTTCATTTTGTTTGTCACCTTGTTTCTAAGTAATTTTTCAAATTTATTTTGTGTCAAATCATAACGGTTAAATCAATAACCGAACCTATAACAATTAATAACCGATAAACCAATAAACAATAGGCCAATATCTTAATGGTTCTATAACAGTTTAGCATATCTACAAACTGATAACCAATAAGTCAAATTGATAAACTTCAAAACTGAACCGAACCGACCGATACGGGCTTAGACTGTCTTCAACTCATTTTATTACAATTTCAATCAATTCTCTATGTTCCAAAAAAGTTGTATTATATCTATATAGAGATAGAGTTAATAAAGAGAAAGTAAGTAAGTTATTTAATTTCTTCCCAAATTTTCTTTAGTTTTTCCTTACGAAATATTTTCTAAATATTATATTATATTATATCTATATAGAGATATAGTTCACAAAGAAAAAGAAAGTAAGTCATTAAATTTCTTCACAATTTTTCTTTAGTTTTTCCTTGCAAAATATTTTTTCTCTTCATTTTTATTTGTTCATAATTGACTTAACACACTTTTTACACATTAATAAATGAAAGAGTTTTTTTAATCATTTTACTCTTTAAATATAATAAAAATTTTAAAGAAATATATTGAAAAAATAACTATACTTAATAATAAGAGTAAATTAAAAACTAAGTAGTAAGTAATTTTTTTAAATTTTTTTTTATGACAAGGGAAACCTGTAGCCGTTACCCTTTGGGTGCACCCTGACACTATTATCTTTACTCTTTCAAGGCGCCTAAAACCACTAGACTACATCATATTGTTGTGTCGAGGGTGTCCAAAATATGTTATTTAGCCACTTTATTTATCATTTTACTTGTATATACGGTATAATATTCCGACGAAGGGTGTCCATTGGACAAATGGACACCCTAACACAAGGGTGGCTACGCCACTGCCAAAAGGCAAACCCATTACTTTCGCTGGCAAGGGGTTTCGAACTTCAGACCTCCAACATGGAAATTCCAGGCCAAATTAAAACATTGGGCCATCCCGAAGGGTAGTTTTTCTAATTTTTTTAACTAAATAAATTAAAATAAATATTCATTTTTAATACACTAAACAAATAGAGATGAACGGAATAAATATAACTATTAACTATAGTACTATTAGAACAAGATAAAGGGGGATTAAAAGAAAAAAAAGGAAAGCCAAGGCCTCGAGTTTAAGCCTGGTATATGGAGAAAATTTTATGGGCAAATTACAGAAATCACATACTTTTAAGGCAAAATTACAATTTATCCCTTAAAAGTTTATAATTACAGAAATCTTTCAAACGGATACAATAATATAAGCGCTGATACATTAATCTGATACACGAGATACAATAATATAAGCATTGATACATGCGCGAGATACAATAATTTAAGCGCTGATACATTAATCTGATGCGTGAGATACAATAATATAAGCGCTGATACACTAATCTGATGCGCGAAAATGAGAGATTTTGGAGATTTATAAAACTTATAGGGGATAATGGTAATAAGTAAACTAAAATGTGAGATTTCTGTAATTTTTCCAAATTTTATTGAGACAGTCATTTATTTAGTCGGTGCTCCAATACGGGCTCAGCTCGGAAAACCCAAAAACAATAAACATTTCCTTCCCTTAATTTCCAAACAAAAAGAGAAACAAAAGGAGAAGAGAGAAAAAAAAAAGTTCTCCTTTTTCCCTCCATTCCAAAACAGAGAAGAAACCCATGCAACTGCGTCTCTTCCCCTTCTCTTTTCTCTCTGGTTTTCAACTTTTAGCACCAGAAAACTCCATTTTTGAGTAGACCAAGAAAAACCCATCTTCCCAATTCCATTTTTTGCACTTTTCTTGGGCCAATTTCATCTTTGTTTGCTCTTTTTTCCGTTTCTAATCATCGTTTTTGCTATTAATTTAAGAAAAAGAGGCACTTGGGGTTGTTAATTTCAGTATTTGGGAAGTACCCAGAATGGGAAAATTCGATTTTGGTTGGGCTTCGTTGTTGTTAGTTATACTTGTTTGGAGTGTAAATGTGGTAAGTGAAGGGGTAATTAAAGTGAATTCTAAGTTTACTGGGTTGGAAAGGAATTTGCGTGCCCTAAAAGCTCATGATGAAATGCGCCATCTACATATTCTCGCCGGTATCGACCTTCCTATCGGTGGAACTGGCCGTCCTAATTCCGTTGGGTTTGTTTTTCCGTTTACTCCCTTTTATTGAATTTTGTGTTTTTGTTTGTTTATATGTGTGTGATTCTGCACAGTTTGCTGTGTTTTTTTCTCTTTGGAAGTGACGAACAGTGATGCATTGTGATGTTGTACATTTTGCTGCAATTGTTGTACATTTCTTATTCTGCATGTTGCTTTTGCTGATGTGTGAATTTAAGGAAGCTTTATGTTAGGAGATCAAATGGGCAGGTTAGCTGAATTTGGGTGTATTGAGTAAATGATCTGCCCAAAAGTTACTTTGAGCTGAAATAGGTTGGGCTAAAATGGGGTAGACTAACTTTTTTATTTGTTCTTTTATAATTTTTTAACTACCCAAAACACCTTTTTTCCCCTTTATTATGGTTGTATATAACGTATCAAAGAAAAAAATTAAATCTTTTTGAAAATATTTTGGCAATGTTTCGCTTATTGATCAATTTGGGCTACATACTAGAACAATTTTTAAATGGATTGAATTGGGCGGGTCAAACTTGAGTGGGTTGTGCACCATCCATGTTACAATAGTCAGAGGTGGATCCATGTGGTGGGTTGGGGATGCACGTGCACTCGTTAACTATGAAAAGAATTTGGTATATTATATACCTTAAAGAACTATCATATATTTTGAAAGGCCCTTCAAACATATCTGCTGGATTGGGTCATTTGGTCAGGTTGCCCCTTAGGCCCTTGAGCGATGACGCATGACCTGAGATCGTGTCTGGCTGCTACATTATTTGGTGCCCCCGTTGTCTTCAAATCTTGGTGCCACTTCTGACAGTAGTGGTTGTAAAAGTTTTGTTGAATTAAAAGAATTTGCATGTATTATCAATTGGCTATATTTTCAGTGTCAGCTTTTAATTAAGCCTATATCATCTGATGAATTAATAATTTCCAGAAGATACTTAGATCTCAGGTAATAAATTAGATAAGAAGATCTCGGGTAAATTAGATAAGATGATGAATTCCATGGTTGAGTGATTTGAATGATAGTTGTGTAGTCAGTTTGAGCTGCTATTGAAATCATTCCCTTGATCTTTTGTTATTATAGGCTTTACTTTGCTGAGATTGGGATTGGAACACCTCCAAATAATTATTTTGTTCAAGTGGATACGGGAAGTGATATAATGTGGGTTAACTGCATTGCATGTCAAAGATGCCCCAAAAGAGGCTATCGTAATGTACGTTTCTTTTAAATACACAACGAATATGTTATACGTATGTTTATAGTTGTTTTTGTGTGTGTCTATAATTTATTTCTGCTCAATATATGAATTGCTCTCGAAAGCAAAGCTATTTTTACTTGATGCTGTACTCCGTCCTTTTTTATCTGAATGTTTTCCTGGGCAGATCGAGCTAACACTCTACAATCCAAGGGATTCTCTCACTGGTAAACTCGTTGTTTGTGGTCAATCATTTTGCAAAGACTTCTACAAATGTTCAGGATTAGGCTGCTCTGGTAATAGTTCTTGTATGTATGATCAAGCTTATGGAGATGGAAGCTCTACTAGGGGCTACTTCGTGGAGGATGTTGTCCAATACAATAAGGTGTCAGGTGATCTTCAAACTAAATCAGGAAACGGGAGTGTTATTTTTGGGTAAGATGTATGTTATCTAACATGATAGCAAAATAATATATCTTTAGCTCTTATAATCCTCAATCCAGAGCTTGATTTGTAACATTTAATTGAAAAGGTGATCTTACATGGGTTGCCTCTGCTTCAAAAAATTTCAAACTCATGCTTGTTATTCTTTGGTTTACTTAGCATTTATGAGTGGTCTGCATCCTTATGTGAAATTTGAACTTTTGAATACTCATTTGTTGCCAATAATATGCATTAGTTGAGGCAAGATCTGGTGAGACATTTTCTCTTATTCCCTTTGTTGTTCATTCTCTTTTCTTTCTTGGATAATAAGTTTATTGATGTTTCCCCTTGTATTCTCGCAGGTGTGGTTATTCACAATCTGCTGACCTGATCTCTTCTGATGAAACTTTTGATGGGATTCTTGGATTCGGGAAATCAAACTCATCCATACTTTCCCAGTTGGCTTCATCTGGAAAAGTGAAGAAAATGTTTGCTCACTGCTTAGATGGTGTGAATGGTGGTGGTATTTTTGCCATTGGGAATGTTGTGCAACCAGAAGTGAACATGACTCCTTTGGTAACTAACAAGTATGTACATTTTCCCAAAAGATTATAAAGCTTTTGATTTGTTTACTGCTCTTTTGTTAATTGCAATATTTCTCTCTGAACTAGTTGTCAGAGTCTTGCGTGCAGGATGCTGTTATTGAAGTTGACGACTTTAAATTGTTGATTACCTTTCTTTTTGAAATATTGGAAGATAGCAAAAACCATCATGGTTTCACTTGTCACAGTTTCTTATCCACCTAACACCCATTTTCAGAATGGAAGAATGACTAAAGTAGACATTGCGGCATTTTTTGTTTAAGAGAGAATGGGAAGTGAACGGAATTCCGTTTCCGTTCTTTGGGGCATTCAAGCCTTCTTGATCTTTTTCTTGAGTAAAACCACGACCTGGCTTGCCAGGACTTTTAGAACTGCTTTTCACTAATCTTCTCAAGCAAAAGTAAAAGCCAGTTACAAAATGAGATTAGCTTACTAATCTCCACTCTAAGGAATACCTCCTATTACTTAGATGAGCCAGAGCAGATACAACACTGCCCATTAAGTTATCACCCCTAGATAACTTAGACTTTGCTAAGCGGATACCACACCGCTCACTAAATCAACTAGCTCCTAGATGATTTAGACTTTGACTAGGCAAATACAACACTGCCCACTATACTAATCCTAACCGATTATATAGACTTTAGAGTAAGAAGCTAAGTTACCCTTAACTTAGCTCTTACAATGATTCACACAAGTTTGAAGCGTTTCTTTCACAAGTGAAACGAATCCTACAATATAAGCACTATTACAAGCAAACAAAGTAACAACTGGTACAGGAATCACTTGAAGCAATCACTACTAAAAACACAGTGAATACCGACCTAAAAATTTCCGACCTCAAATGGAGGTCGGTAATTTCCGACCTCCGGAGGTCGGTAATTTCCGACCTCCGGAGGTCGGTATTTACAAGTAGTCGGTTTTTATTCAAAATAAAGAGGGAAAACCAAATTCCGACCTCCGGAGGTCGGAATTTTTTCTCAATTAAATATTTCATAATACCGACTTCCGAATGTCGGTAAAAATTAAATAGTATGTAATTAAAATACCGACCTCATGAGGTCGGTATTTTTATTTCGACTATTAATTAAAGCGACATCCAGAGGTCGGTATTTTTATTTCATCTAATTACTTTTAAAAGCGACATCCGGAGGTCGGTTTGCGGTTTCCGGGTAAACCAAATTCCGACCTCAAGAAGTCGGAATTTTTCCCAGAAAATGAATTACAATAAAAACCGACCTCTTGATGTCGGTATTATTTTCTCTTTTGATTTAATTTTTTTTAAATTGTTTTCCGGAGGACTATTTTGTGTTCTTAAAATTTAATGTGATATATATATATATATATATATATATATATATGTTTAATTAATAAAATCAACCTCAAGAGGTGAGTTTATATTAAAATAATTATCTATATATATATGTATGTGTGTGTGTGTATATATATATATATAATTTCACGACACATCAACAAAAGTTTAATTTAATAAATTTACATATATATATATATATATATGTAAATTTATTAAATTAAACTTTTGTTGATGTGTAGTTAAATTTATATATATATATATATATATATATACATACATATATGTATATATATGTATGTATACATATACATATATTATATGTTGATGTGTAGTTAAATTATATATGTTTAATTAATAAAATCAACCTCAAGAGGTGAGTTTATATTAAAATAATTATATATATAGTTGTATACATATATATGTATATGTATACATCTATATATATATACATCTATATATATATACATCTATATATATATGTAAATTTATTAAATTACATATATATATATATATATATATATATATATATACACATATTAAAATAATTATGTATATATATATGTGTGTGTGTATATATATATATATATATATATATATATATATAAATTTATTAAATTAAACTTCTGTTGATATGTAGTTAAATAATATATATATATATATATAGAGAGAGAGAGATGTATGTATATATATATATATATATATATATATATATGTATATCATATATATAGATGTATACATATATATATATATACATATATGTATACATCTATATATATGATATATATATATATACACATACATCTCTCTCTCTCTATATATATATATTATTTAACTACATATCAACAGAAGTTTAATTTAATAAATTTATATATATATATATATATATATATATATATATATATATATATATATATATATATATATATATAGATATGTAATTTAATAAATTAAACTTTTGTTGAAGTGTAGTTAAATTTTATATATATATATATATATATATATATATGTAAATTTATTAAATTACATATATATACATATGTAATTTAATAAATTAAACTTCTGTTGATGTGTAGTTAAATTTTATATATATATAATTTATATGTTTAATTAATAAAATCAACCTCAAGAGGTGAGTTTATATTAATATATATATATATATATATATATATATGTTTAATTAATAAAATCAACCTCAAGAGGTGAGTTTATATATACATATATATATATATTTAAATTTATTAAATTAAACTTCTGTTGATATGTAGTTATATATATACATATATGTATATATATATGTATACATATATACATATATATATATATATACATATATATTTAAATTTATTAAATTAAACTTCTGTTGATATGTAGTTATATATATACATATATGTATATATATATGTATACATATATACATATATATTTAAATTTATTAAATTAAACTTCTGTTGATATGTAATTAAATTATATATATATATATATATATATATAATATGCGTTTAAATTAATAATAAGATGTAAATAAATAAGAGTAAGAATTTAGATTTAAACAAAAGAGGATAGCTTCTGTCAAGATGATGTAAGCTGCGGTTGTAAAATTTGTTGTAAAATCCTACTCAGTACTCCCTCTTCCTGTTCCGTTATCTAGTATTAGTAGTTTTTTGTTGCTGAATCCATGTAATTTCTCCCAAAATTACTCTTTTTTTTTTTTTTTTTTACTGTTCATCTCTTTACCTTACTCCTTTCATCTCTTTTCTTTACCCATTTTCTTAGCACCTGCTTCTTTAACCACACCCTGGGATTCACAGTCCTTTTGGTTTTCTGACCATGGCGGACTTTCAACATCCCTAGGTATTTACAGGTTAATCTATCGGGGTTACTAAGAGGATAGAGAACTAACCATTTACTAAGAATAAATCAAAGAGTGAACATGTTAACGAAAATCATAATAGCATATCATAATAATATGAACATCATATCATATATACACACATAATAACATACACAATAATAACATAGTACATACACTTAGGGAGAAGATTACTAGGATCTAGAAAACAGATAACTACTTACATGATAATGGTCAGAATGAGGTTTCCCTTTCGGGAGTCCCCGAAGTGACCTTGCAGGTACTTGTAGGAAAATAAACACTCACACTCTTTGTACAAACACAACAAACACTTACTCACTTTTTATTTTGAAAGGGAAGGGGAATATGTAAACTATTACTTAGAAATATTAAGCTTTTGCTCTCTGCTCTGCACTTCGCTCTATCTCTTTTCTTGTAATATGGTTCTATTTATAGAAGTCCATCCGGATTTGAAATTCGGATTTCAATTTCTAAAAACTTTCTTCACCTGCCGGGTGCTCTTTGGGCCCCATCGTCACATGACTTTGTGAAACCTTTGTTGAAATTGAGTGTCTTCTTTGTCTTCTTGTGATAGTGGAGTGGTGTCCTTCTTTTGTCTTCTTGTGATAGTGGAGAAGTGGACATGTAGTGGAGTTTCTTTATCATAATGACTTGTAGTGGAGTCTTGTAGTGGAGTCTTGTAGTTGATGAAGGCTTGTGATGTCACTGCTTACCTATTTGTAGTGGAGTCTTGTAGTTGATGAAGGCTTGTGATGTCACTGCTTACCTATTTTTTTTTTTTTTGTCTTCTTGTGTTGATGTTATTGCTACGTATTTCTCTAGGTATCCAGGTTGTGTAGTGTTACAGAATCAAAACTCATCCCTGAATCATTGTCGTCATTTGGATCATAATGTTGATTAAACTGGTCTGATAAATTATTTTCGTCACTGCTACTCTCGTGGTCAGAATTTGCTGGATCTGGCTTTGGATTTTCTCGTATGATTTTTTCTTGTACTTCTTTAGTCTTTTCTGTGAGAAATTTGTAAAGGGAACTTTTTATTATTTTTTCTATCCTTTTATTTTTTTTTCTTTTTTGGAGGAATCCTTTTGTCCTTTTACTTGTCTCTGCCATTGTATTGAAGCTTGCCGGCAGAATTCTTACACTTTTTGGTAAAGTGTCAACCATCAACGGATTTGATGAGTCTTTACCCGCTACCGTTTGAACGGGACTAGCTGTACCTTTAGCTGGTACAATAGCTTTTTCTACATTCGTTGGGGAATGTACACCCGTCTTATCCATTTTGTGGGGAGATGGAGAACTCTTATTTTGATCGGTATTTCCAAGTAAAAATCTTATCCTCTCTTGTAATGAGTGGATATGTTGTGTCATTTTCCCTTTTTCTGTTTCTAGTCTTTCGATTGTCTGATTTAGCCTTTTGAATCCTTCCGTCATTGAGGAACAATGATCGCAGAAAATGATTCTGTTTGTGTCTTTCTGAATATTGTATTGCAAAACGGTCTTGAAATTTGTCTCAAAGCTGGACTGATGAAATAATTAGGCCCGAGAGTTCCTCTAGCATAGTCTAGTGCTTCATTCAAATCATTGAATCCCTTAAAGAGTGGGGTAGGGAAGTCTTTAATTGAATCTACTACTTCTATCCATGTCTGGAACACGCCCTGTAATTTTCCTTGGATTACTACATAAAATCTGAATTTTTTGTCTTCATTTTTGTCTGTAAAATAATGGCTTAATGAATTTACTACGGACACGAAATAACTGTTGTCTCGAGGAATCTTGTTGTATGCTATCCATAGGTTG